TTCCATACGACTCTTCGCCACCACCCACACCCAGCTTCCCGCCCTATGACGTTCGGACACTTCACTTCGTGGCATGCGGACGACCGTGGCTACTATTCAGGGCCCCGCGGCCGACGACGACGGCGTGCGCGCGCGAAGAAAAAACGAATGTGTCCAATATGGTATTATTTGACAGGGATGATGGCCCTGGCATGCGCGCAACCGTTGTTGCAGAAGTTCGAAGCACGTGAAAAAGTTGCTCGCAAGAGCCCGTTTGACAGAAATGTTGAAAAAATAGTGGGTTTCCTCAGAAATCCGCAAGAGCGCGCAAGATGAATGTTTGAAACTTTTTTTTGAAAAACCATTGGGTTTTTCATGTTTTTATGTTAAAATCGCTACGAAAACTAAGGTTTTGGAAGGATTTCATCTTGCGCGCGCGAGTGTGCACTTCGTGTCATTTTTTTCAAAGGATTCTTGAAGCTTGGTTATGTTAGAACAAGAAATTTCATGTTATAGTGTTTTTTGCAAGGGAAAGCGGGCGTCAACAAAACAACCGGATCCGGACACCCACGTTTTGCCTGAGACTTCCTCACGAAAATGATGAAAATGTGGCTGCGGCCTAGGCGCGGCGAGGGGGGCGCGCACCAGGGGTCCCAACAATAATTATTCTTTAGAATTAATAATGTTCAACAACAACAACAACAACCACAACAACAACAACAACAACAACAACAACAACCACAACCACAACCACAACAACGACGACGACGACAACAATCACAACAATAACAGCAGTAACAACAACAACAACAACAACAACAATCATTTTAAGACTGTTCGCTCTGATCTGCTCTCGTGCCAGTCATCACGTCTATCCCAAACCCTCGACACCCGCCCACGTCATCATCGATCGTACCCCCTTAGGGGTCCATCTTTCTTACCTGCAGCGTGGACTTCGTGCAGCCCCTGAGGCAGAGGAAGAGAGGACGGATAGAAGGAAAGGACAAGGGGAAGGGAGGACGATGGAGCACGAGAGACAGAGAAGGAGGGGGGCTAGGAGCAGAAAACACGTGGCAGAACCAGACGGGCAGATCGGGCGGGTAGACTCGCGATCTGGTCGGGAAGGAGGGCCCAGGCGGCCAGGTCGAGCAGGCGGGTTGCTGAAGTGTGCGTCCTGCATGAATCGCGAGGAAGTCTCGAGTGATAGCGCGATTCCCAAATAAATCGCATGGAGATCCAAAGGGAGAGCGTGATTCCTGAGTGTCGAGGGCGCGGCGTCTGAGTAAATTGCGTGGACGTCCCAAGCGAGAGCGCGAATCCTGCAGAAATGGTAAAGACATCCCGCGATAGAGCGCGACTTCTGCGAGGAAGTATCAGCTGGGAGCCGTTGTTGTTGTATGTCGTGGGCCAGAGGCCCAGTTTGGTGACCCCTTACTTTCCATTGTGAAAAAAACTAGGTGTGAGCCCCAGGAAAAACCTTTTGATTGAAAAAAACACGATGGTTACCGGAGGGGGTATCAACTATAATTATTTCGTCGAAATCAGAATTCAACCACAACGACAACAACAACAATCATAGAACGACTGATCGCTCTTCCCTGCTCGCGTACCACTCAATACGTATATCCCAAGCCTTCGATACCCGCCCTCTCCGTCTTCGACCGTACCCCCCCTGGGGGTATATCTTTCTTACCTGCAACGTGTGATTCGTGCCACGCAGCCTCCGAGGCGGGGGTAAAAAGGACAGAGGGAAGGAAGGGACAAGGGGGAGGGAGGAGGATGAAGCACGAAAGAGACTAGGAGGAGGGGGGCTAGGAGCAAAAAGCACGTGGCAGAACCAGACGGGCAGACCGGGCGGGTAGACCCTACCAGGCGGGTCGGAAAGGAGGGCGCAGGCGGCCAGGTCGAGCAGGCGGGTTGCTGAAGCGTGCGTCCTGCATGAATCGCGAGGAATTCTCTAGCGATAGCGCGATTCCCAAATCAATCGTGAGGAAATCCACAGCGAGAGCGTGATTTCTGAATGCCGAGGGCGCGGCGTCTGAGTAAATTGCGAAGAATTCCCATGCGAGAGACCGATTCGTCAATAAATTTTGAGGAAATCCCGCGGGAGAGCGCGACTTGGGAATGCACTGCGAAGAAATATCGGGCGGGAGCCGTTGTTGTTGTAGTTCGGGGGCCAGGGGCGCAGTTTGAGGAGGAAAACTTGCCCGAATGAAAAGCAAGGTGCCAGCCCCTGGAAGGACACTTCAATTGAAAAACACCTTGTTTACAGGAGGGGGAACAGCAATGTCAATTCCTCAGTAGCGAAAGTACAACAACAACAACAACAAGAACAACCACAACCACAACCACAACCACAACCACAACAACAACGATCAGTTCACCCTCATGTACGATGTTTCCACACGAAGCATGCGACCACCATGATAACCATCCCAACATGGGGGACTATTTCTCTACAGCGGGGTCCGTTATTCCTGTTCCCAGATTTCCCGCCCAATGAAGTATTGCAAACACCTCATCGGAGGAATTTCAATATATCCCGCCTCGGAAACACATGCCCGCGCCTTTCTGCGTCGATGCGAGACCGCCAGTGGAGCCCCAGCCAAGGGTAAAGCACAAGGAAGTATCGAGCGACAGGATTGCCTTGGTAGGGATGGGGGCTGTCGGCGGCGAGGCAAGGACCTGGCCCTGAATAGACAGGGAGGAAGTCTCGAGCAGGGCCGCTGTTCTTGCTGGGAGCGGCGCCAAGGCTGAAGAGAGTAGGCGCCAATCCAGCGTAAAACAAAACGAAGTCTCGAGCGGGAACACTGGTTTTGTTGGGACGGCGGTGGTCGGCAGCGAGGAGGAACACCGCCTTGAGTAAGAAGGGAGGAGGTCTCGAGCGGGAGCCGTGGTTTTGCCGAGACGAGGGCTGTCGGCGGAGAGGAACAGCACCGTCCTGAGGAAAAACGGAGGACGTCTCGAGCGGGAGCGTTGTTCTTGCTGGGAGCGGCGCCAATTCACAGAGCATCCAGCGTAAATCGGGAGGAGGTCTCGAGCGGGAGCGCTGGTTGTGTCGGGACGGCGGCTTTCGTTGGCGAGAAGGAGCACCGCCTTGAGTGAAAAAGGGAAGACGTCTCGAGCGGGAGCGTTTTTCTTGCTAGGGGCGGCGCCGATGAGAGAAAAGAGTAGCGCGCCAGTCCAAGGTAAAGCGGAAGGAAATCTCGAGCGTTGGCGCTGCTTTTGTTGGGACGGCGGCTGCCGGCGGCGAGCAAGAGCACCCCCCCTGAGCAAAAAAGGAAGACGTCTCGAACGGGAGCGTTGTTGTTGTTGTTGGGGGGCTGATTTTGCGCCCCCCCAAACCACTCGGGCGTGAGCCTCATGTTCAATGAAAATGTAGCCGGCGCCGAGGCGAGAGCGTCAAAGCGCCTGGGGGGTCCAACCATAATAGTTGTTTAGTAAGTAACATTCAACAACAGCAACAACAACAACAACAACGACAACAATCACTTTACCCTCATGCGCCATGAATCCACATGCCACATGCCTCCATCATGATAACAATCCCCATTTGGGGAGATTTTTTCCCTGGCGCACATACCCAGAACTCCCGCCCAAGGAAGTCTCGCGAACACCTCTTCCGAGGAACCTCTCCCGCCCAAGGAAGTCTCCGAACACCTCTGTCGATCCTGAGTAAAGGGAACCGGAGCGCTGGGTTTCACAAGGCATCTGGAAGCCCCCCGGAGGCGATGCCGAAACGAGGGCCCCAGTCTTGCGCAAAAGGCAAGGAAGTATCGAACGGGATTGTTGTAGGGGGGCGTCTGCGGAAGCCGAAGAGGGGAGCCGTAAAAACGGAAGAAGTAGGGTTTCCACAGGGACTCTGGAAGCCCCCCGGAGGCGATGCCGAAACAAGAGCCCCAGTATAGAGTAAACAGTGAGAAAGTCTCGAGCGGGAGCGCCGCGGGAGCGCCGTTGTTGTAGGGGGGGGCGCTTGCGGAAGCCGAAGAGAGAGAGAGAGAGAGAGAGAGAGAGAGAGAGAGCCGATGCTGAGTGAAAGGGGAGGAAGTATCGAACCAGAGTGCCGGTCTGGTGGGGAAGCGGGCTCTCGGCGGCGAGCAAGAGCACCGGGCCTGAGTAAAAAAGGAGGAAGTATCAAGCCGGAGCGTTGTTGTTGTTTTGGGGGCCGGTTTTGGCGCACCCCCGAAACGCCTGAGCGTGAGCCTCAATTTCAGAGGAAATGCAGCCGGCGCGTAGGCGAGAACGCCAAAGCGGATTTAAGGGGTCCAACAATAATAATTGTTTTGTCATTAAGGTTCAACAACAACAACAACAATAATAATAATAATAATAATAACGACAACGACAACCACAACAACAACAGCAAAAACAACAACAACAACAACCGCAGCAGCAGCAACAACAACAACGACCGCAACAGCAATAGCAACAGCAACAACAACCACTTTTAATAATAAAAAAGCAACAACAACAACAACAACAACAAGAAGAAGAACAACAACAACAACAACGACCGCAACAGCAATAGCAACAGCAACAACAACCACAATAACAACAACAACAACAACAACAACAATAGCAACAATAATAAGCACAACAACAACAAAAACGACAAAAACAACGACAACGACAACGACAACGACAACGATAACGACAACGACAACGATAACGAGAACGACAACAACAGCAGCGGTAACAACAACAACCATCACAACAACCAGAAATTCCTCCTCCTCCTCCTCGCTCCTCCTCGCTCCTCCTCGCTCAGCCTCGCTCCTCCTCGCCCCTTCTCACTCCAACTCGCTCCTCCTCATCATCGCTGATCCTCGCTCCGCCTCGCTCCGCCTCGCTCCTCCTCGCTCCTCCTCGCTCTTCCTCACTCCGCATCGCTCCTCCTCGCTCCTCCTCCCCGCTCCTCCTGATCGCTCCCTTTCCTCCTTCCTCCTCCTCCTCCTCGCTTCTCCTCCCCTGCTCCTCCCCTCGACCACCACCACCTCTACCAGCACTGGCCCTCGGGCTGCCTGTCGTGGTGCCACTGGCCTTCGTACCTGATGGTGCATCCCAGGGGGTAAGGAGAGGCGGAAGGCGAGCATCGAGGCGCGAAAAACGGGCGGGGCGGAGGCGGCCAACGACGACGACGACGACGACGACGACAGTCACCACGACGGGCCCCTGCCACTTCAGCTTAGGAACGGTTCGCAGCTGAGGGTCTCCGAAGTCTTCACCAGCGTGGCTGGTTCGCAGCTGCACGCTGTCCGCCTTTTCCGGCGCCCAGAGAGCAATTTGGGGTTCCAGAGCCGTTTCGGGAATGATCCGGGACCGAAGACCCGTCCCCGCGAAGGTGCCCCGATAGGTTCGGGCCCAGACATCCAAGAACGAGACTCCCCAAGGGCACATCACGGCAGGCCATGGCGGCGTGCAACACGTGTGCCCAGCACACGGCCGCAATGCTCGCGGCGAATCGCGTCAATCCGCGTCAACGACCGCCGCAGCTGCGCGCGAAGAGGCGCAGCAAAAGGAGGACGCGTCGAGACGGAAGCACACGCAACTTTTACATGTACCATCCTCGTGCCCGCGACCACACCATTGAAGAGAGGAGGCGGAAGAAGAGAAGGAGCAGGAGGAGGACCAATCGGAACGGTACAATTACAGTTGCCACTACCTGCACCCTGACGCTGATAGCGCAAAGAGAAGGAAGAGGAAGGAGGAGGAGGAGGAGGAGGAGGAGGAGGAGGAGGCGGAGGAGGGAGAAGTAGAGCGTGGAGAAAGAGGAGCCGTCAGGACAAAAGACGCAGGAGAGTGTCATGCGCTACATCGTTTTGCCAGGCCGACGACACATGTGAGGATCTAGGCAAGGGCAACACCGCAGACATCAGAGCAGGAAGGATAGGGAAAGAACCTTCAACAGCCGTGTTTCGTTCGCGCTGGGTTGCTCACAGGTGTTGGTTGTTCTTGCTTGGAGGTCGCCCATCACTGTCGTACAGCAGCTTGATTGCGTTGTTGACCAGGCTCGTATTCAAACTTGTCGAACCGAATAAACTGTGTGCAGCAGAAGCTGATGGCTTACAAACCACATGACAAACAAGACTGTGCATACCGTGTGATGTGGCGTAGCGTCGATTTGTACGCGTGGCTTCCTCATGATCATTTTCGTGGTCGTCCTCCTTATGGCTTTTTTTGCGTCAACACTTCACCCTTGCACTTGCATTATGGGTAAGAGGAAGGAGGGGGAGGGAAAAGGCAGTCGGAGGGTTGTTTACGAAGAAGAGCAATAAGAAACAAATGGAGGAGAGAGATGGAGAGAAGAGGGAGGAGGAGGAGGAGGACATGTGAAAACCCAAGACGCATAAACGATGCTGTAATAAACCCTCCCTCCAAATCTCCTCTTCATTGGTCCCTGCAAGAAATTGTGCTCACTGCTTGGAAGAGAGCCGTCTGATAATGTCCACTCGTTCCCAAAAACGAAACGCCGCGAACCAACGAGACTATTGCGTCCTGGCAGCCCTGAATCGTGCCACAACACCATTCCTGGGACTTGAACCATACGAACCCTTGAAACTGCTGCAAGCTCTTCAGACGAACCTGCGCGGCGCTACGGCGAGAGCCACATGGATATAAATCCCAGAGGGCCTGGGCTACCCTAGGCCCTGGGGTAGCCGAGGGTAGGGCCTACCCTGGACCCTAGGGTAGCCTGGGGTAGGCCTAGGGGTAAGCCCTAAGGATAGGCATAGGGAAGCCTATAGGTAGGCCCTCGGGGTAGGCCCTAGGTGCAGGCCCTGGGTAGGCCTAGGGGTAGACCCTAGGGGTAGGCCTAGGTATTTAGGCCTTGGGGTAGGCCATTGGGGCAGGCCTAGGGTAGGCCTGGGGGGGGGGCCCTCGGGTTAGGCCGAGGAACCTAAGATAGGCCCCACGGGCCCTAGGGTAGGCCCTAGGGGTGAGCCTAGGGGTAGGTCTAGCTAGAATGGGCCTCGGGGCCTTACGGGTACGCCTACTCTCCACGTTCGGTCGGGTCCACAGGCGAACCCTAAAGTACGATGTGATGCACGTTCGTGTTCGCACGCGCGCAATGCGGGAGGGTCGTGTCGGGTAGGCCGAACGCTAACAGATGACATGCGTTGACACACGCGAGTGGCACCGGCGACGACGACCACCACCCCCGACCACGACGACGCTCCCAAACCAGCACCGGCTCTTGGATCCGAGCACGTTCGCGATCACGAGGCGGGCCCGCCGAGGCGCCCTCACCCCGTGGCGGCGGCCCGGCTGGCCCACCCTCCCTCCCTCATCCCTCCCTCCCTCCCCGCCGCCCTGCCCCCCATCCCTGCCTGCCTCTCTCCTCCTCCTCCTCCTCCTCCTCCTCCTCCTCCTCCTCCTCCTCCTCCTCCTCCTCCTCCTCCTCCTCCTCCTCCTCCTCCTCCTCCTCCTCCTCTCCTCCTCCTCCTCCTCCTCCTCCTCCTCCCTCCTCCTCCTCCTGCTCCTCTTCCTCCTCCTCCCTCCTCCTCCTCTCCTCCTCCTCCTCCTCCTCCTCCTCATCATCATCCATCATCCTCCTCCTCCTCCTCCTCCCTCCTTCTTCTCTCCTCCTCTCCTCCTCCTCCTCCTCCTCCTCCTCCTCCTCCTCCTCCTCCTCCTCCTCCCCCTCCGCCTCCTCCTCTCCTCCTCCTCCTCCTCCTCTCCTCCTCCTCCTCTCCTCCATTTCTTTTGCTTAAAAATCCGCCGACCCTGTCGGCGTGTGGAATTGGTTGTTCTTCTCGTCCGTGCCTCCTTCCCTTTCCCACCTTCTCCGTCTCCTTCTCGTTCGTCTCCCCCTCCTCCTCCTCCTCCTCCTCCTCCTCCTCCTCCTCCTCCTCCTCCTCCTCCTCCTCCTCCTCCTCCCTCCTCCTCCTCCACCTCCTCCTCCTCCTCCTCCTCCTCCTCCTCCTCCTCCTCCTCCTCCTCTCCTCCTCCTCCTCCTCCTCCTCCTCCTCCTCCTCCTCCTCCTCCTCCTCTCCTCCTCCTCCTCCTCCTCCTCCTCCTCCTCCTCCTCTCTTCCTCCTGCGTAATGTAAATTGACTCGAAAGGTTTACCCTTCCCTTTGTTCCCTTCCCCGGCCGGGGGGAGGGGGGGGTCCCGGGGGAAGCCCGGGGGGGGTCCTGGGGGGGGTCCTGGGGGGGTCCTAGAGGGGGGCCTGGGTCATAATACCACCTCCCTCCTCCTGCTCCTCCTGAGCGTCTTTTGCCACCTTCTCCATCTCCTTTTCGTTTGTCTTCCCCTCCTCCTCCTACTCCTCCTCCTCCTCCTCCTCGGCCTCCTCCTCCTCCTCCTCCTCCTCCTCGTCCTCCTCCTCCTCCTCCTCCTCCTCCTCCTCCTCCTCCTCCTCGCACACTTCCTCCGCCTACCCTGTCACGTTGTCCTTTAGCTCCTTCCTGTGATCAGACATCCCGTCGCCATCGACGGCCAAAACCTTCAGGGTCGGCGGCACCGACCTTAAGGCCTTCACAATAACTTTTCCCTGTCGCACCCGGGGGCCAGCTTTTAGGGCGGGCCGGGCTTTTCGCCTGAGACTTCTTCATCCTTGTATGACCCTGAAGCTTGAAAAATAGCAACAGCTTCACAGATTAAGGGCGAGTCTTTTTCAATATGTGGCTCTCGCCTCAGCGCCGCGCACATTCATGTTAAACATTTGCGAGAGCTTCACGGATTGAGGGCGACCCGTTTTCAAAACGTGGCTATCGCAATAGCGCCGCGCACATTCGTTTAAACATTTGCGAGAGCTGTACTGATTGAGGGCGACCCGTTTTCAAAATGTGGCTCTCGCCTTGGCGCCGCGCACATTCGTTCTACAAAATTGCAAGCGTCCCACGGATTGAAGGCAATTCCTTTTCAAACTGTAGCTCTCGCCTTAGCGCCGCGCACACTCGTTATTACAATTCGCAAGAGTTTCACGGGTTCCAATGATCAACGTACCAAAAATTGCGTTTTGGAAGGATTCAGGATTATGAGGGTGCAACAGTTACGTTGATTCGCGAAAGTCCCAGGAATGGCGTTCTGGCAAGATTCCGGATTGACAAGACACAACAAGTAATTTGATCCGTAGCGTTGAAATTCCGAGAACATTGTTTTGGCATTTTTCTGGATTTTCAAACAGTTGTCTTCCAGCGAGGCAGTTCCCTCTGTGGAAATGAACCGTTGTAGGGGCCTGTGAAGAGAGAGCTTGGAGGGAGGGTTTATCACAACATCATGTATGACTCGTGGGCTTACACTTGTCCTCCTCCTCCTCCTCCTCCTCCTCCTCCTCCTCCTCCTCCTCCTCCTCCTCCTCCTCCTCCTCCTCGTCCTCCTCCTCCTCCTCCTCCTCCTCCTCCTCCTCCTCCTCCTCCTCCTCCTCCTCCATCCTACCCAGTGGCCTCCTCGTCCGGCCAAGCCTGGCTGGCGCGCGGGACGGCCACAACGACGACGACAACGACGACGACGACGACGACGACGACGACGACGACGACGACGACGACGACGACGACGACTTCAGGCCCACGAACCCCGCCCGATGCCGAGCCGCACCGTCTTCCAGAGCTGAGGAGCCCCCTCGTGGTGACGAGGCGGGCCCCCGTCGGCAACCGCCCAGGGCGCCCCGGGACCCCCCAGCGACCCCAGGGCCACCCGGGGCGGGTCGGAGCCTTCGAGGCCCCCTGGGGCGGGTCGGGGCCCCCATCGGAGCGGGTCGGCGCGGGTCGAGCTTGCCCCCCCCCAGAGCGAGGGAGGGAGCCAACCTCACGGGCGGGTCGGGTCGGGCGGGCGGGACATTGAAGTATAGAGTAATGCATCGTCCGGATGGCACGCTAGAGGCCCAACAGCTAGGCCTGAACGAGCGGGCCAAGCCCTCACGGGCGCGTCGGGTCGGGCGGACGGAAGCTAAAGCATGGAGTGAAGTGTGCTGCATCGTCCGGATGGCACGCGAGAGCCCCAAAGGCTGGGCCTGGTCGAGCGAGCCAGACCCTTACGGACGGGTCTGGTCGGTGGGGCGGGACATTCAAGTGTGTGCGATCTGTGTGGTGCAATCGACGTTGTGCGATCTTTGTTGTGCAACATATATGCTGCCATGTATGCGGTACAAGAGATGTGGTAAGTCCTGGGCCTCGGGGTAAGCACTACAGGTAAGCCTAGGGGTCGGGCTTAGAGGTAAGCCCAAGACGTAAGGCCTGGGCGTATGACTGGGCGTAGTCCCGGGACGTAGGGTCGGGGCGTAGGCCCTGGGGGTCATGAGGGTAAGCTTAGAGGTGAGCCTAGGTGGAAGCCTACGCTAGGTCTAGAGAGGCCCTGGGAGTAGGCCTCGAGTAGGCCTCGGACAAAAGAAACGCCTCGAGGAAGGCCCACCCTAGGTCTAGACCTTAGCACTAGGGCTAGGTCTACAGTAGGGATAGAGTTAGACCCGAAAGGTAGGCCCTGGGAACAAGACTAGGGGTCAGCCCTTGGGGTAGGCCATGAGTAGGCTTAGGGGTGGTCCCTAAGGGTAGGCCCTAGTGGGTAGGCCTAGCGGTAGGCCGCAGGGGTAGGCTCTAGGGGTAGGCCTGGGGGTAGGCCCTAGGGGTAGGCCTAAGGTGGGCCTTGGGGTAGGCCCTAGGCGTAGGCCTAGGATTGGCCTAGGGGTAGGCCCAAGGGTAGAGGCCAAGGGTAGGGCTAGAGATAAGCCCTAGGGGCAGGCCAGGGGTAGGCCTAGCGGTAGGCCCTAGGGGTAAGCATATGGTAGGCCTAGGGGTAGGCCATAGGGGCAAGCCTGGGGTAGGCCTAGGGGTAGACCCTTAGGGGTTAGCCCTAGGTCAGGTCTAGGAGTAGACCATAAGGGGATAGGCCTAGGGCTGGCCTACGGGTAGGCCATAGGGGTAGGCCTAGGGTAGGCCTACGGGTAGGCCCTAGGGGCAGATCCTATGGCTAGGCCTAAGGTAGGCCTACTCTCCGGATTGTACAAAACATGTTGAAAAGGAATCGCCCTCCACCCGTGAAACTGCTGCAATTGTGTAAGACAAATGTACGCGGCGCTCAGGCGAGAGCCACATTTTGAAAACGGCCCGCCCTCCATCTTTGGAGGTTCAATACTCAGGATCACAAGCGCTCTAGAAAAACGCCTGCCCGCCCTGCCGACTCGTTTGGGGGTGCGACTGGGAGAAGTTACGCATAAAGAAATTAGGTGAGGAGTAGGACGGAGACGAAGGAGGGAGACCGAGAGGATGACACCTACGACAAATGGGAGCAGGAAGGAGAAGAAGAGACGTAGGAGGGGCGGGAGAGCGAATAGGAATGAGTGGGAGTCAAAGACCAAGTGGGGTGCGCTGAGGGTGGACGAGGGCATAGGCAGACACTAAAAGTAAGCGATAACATTGGGTAACAGAGGCAGACGGTAGAATGCGAGACAAGTCGAGGCAGACCAAGAAAATGAGGGCCAGGCAGAAGGCACTAGAGGAGAGAGAGAGAGAGAGGAAAAGAGAGAGAGAGAGAGTGTTCATGACGATGATAATGAGAATGAGACTGAGAATGAGAAAGCGGGAAAGAGAGAGAGGAAGGGAAGAGAGAGAGAGAGAGAAAGGGAGCAGGCTGAGAAATCTCTACACATGCAAGACAAACCTCTGCTGCCTCTTCGACCGCACCACGAGCGGGAGGTTGCGTGGAGCCGTCGGTATGGATGTACTTGCCGACTCCGTGCGCCTTGTCGGCATGCCAGTCGCCCTGCCGAGGCGACGGTGGAGGGATAGAAGAGGTGGCATCACCAGCTCAGCGACGGAAGAAAAACAGGCCTTACGCACGGGCCGCAAGGGTGGCACACCGCGTGGAGGAAAGAGCACGCACGCGCGCCCTCACGCCCCGTTTCCGTCCGTCGCTCACTTGGCCTCTTGGTGCCTCTGAGCTCCCGAATGCAACCTTTGCCGCGAAGTCGAATCGTGCGACCAAGCACGCCTGCCACCCTCACCTGCCCCTCGCCCCCTGGGAAAGGAGAGGGGGGGGGAGTCGGTCGGGGGGGCGGGGCAGGGGCCCAGAGAGGCGGGGAGCAGGGAAAGGAGCCCCCGATCTAAAGGGATGCTGGTGCGTGCGCGTTGCATGATGAGCGCAGGTGGCTTTTGTTCGCCCACCAGGGGCTCTTCGGCCGAACTGGCTCTTCGTCAGACCTGCGCCCGCGCGCCCTCCCCGCCACCACGGGTGGCGACGCCTTGCGCCTATTACCTTCCGTCGGGGGCGCAAGACTGAAGGGGCCCTGGGACACACAAATAAACATACACAACTAAAAGGATCCCCCATATCTTCCCGTATTTTCTGGGTTTCCGTCTTCCCCCCCACACTTCCCATAGTTTCCCATCTTTTCTGGGGAATCGACGACGAATTGTGTCTGTGTGATTTTTCCCCTCCTGAAAAACCTTGGACCGTCGAGGGCCCTCCCTGCCACCGCGCGGGGGCTGGCGCCGCCAAGGGGGCCTCGGCCTGGGGCGCGCTGCCCTCGGTCTCTCGGGCCCGGCGGCCCGCGCACGCCGAGTGGGTGCGCTTGCCGTGCTCCCCCCTCCTCTTCCCCCTCCTCCTCCTCCTCCCCTCCTCCTCCTCCTCCTCCTCCTCCTCCTCCTCCTCCTCCTCCTCCTCCTCCTCCTCCTCCTCCTCCTCCTCCTCTCCTCCTCCTCCTCCTCCCTCCTCCTCCTCCTCCTCTCCTCCTCCTCCTCCTCCCTCCTCCTCCTCCTCCTCCTCCTCCTCCTCCTCCTCCTCCTCCGGGAGGAGTGCGCACGCCGGCGGCCCGCGCACGCCGGGCGAGGGTCCCCCCCCCGGGGGCGCGAAGGTAATCGCGCCTGGCGCGTCGTGGTCCGTGCCTGCACTGCCGCCCTTTTCCCGCGGGCGGCGGCGCGAAGGGGCGCGAAGAGAACTGCGAGTTGCGCATCGCGGGGGGGCGATGCGCGAAGTTAGGCGACCTGCGTCAATGTCTGCCGCCGTTCTGGCCGAAGAGCGCTGATGTAGCGCCATCCACATCTTGAATCCGGGTCTCCGCGGAAGCGGGCAGTGCTCAAACTGATCAGACCCGAGCTGCATGTTGTGAAAATCGCAATTGCAAAAATGTGCAATCGAAAAATGTGCAAAATGTGCCCGCGGGAAATGTGCCCTTTTCCCGCGGGCGGCGGCGCGAGGGCGAGAGGGCGCGAAGAGAACTGCGAGTGGCGCCTCGTCATCGTACTTTGCAGTCGCGATTGCAAGAATGTGCATCGTCATCGTACTTTGCTATCGGTATTCCTCTCTCCTGGCGCCGGAGGCCAGGCAAGGCGAACGCGAACAGCCGCCCAGGGGCGGGCCTGTTCTGGTGGCCTGCGCTGGTGTGGGGGGGGGGCGGGGGGGGGCGGAGCCCTCAGTGCGTTCTGTGCGTGTCGCAGGGGTCGGGAGGGGGGAGGAGGAGGAGAAAAAGGAGGAAGAGAAAGAGGAGGAGGAGGAGGAGGAGGAGGAGGACGACGACCACTAGAAACCCAGGACTTGTCAACGATGTTGCAAAAATCCCTCCCTTCAGGTTCCCTCTGCATAAGCTCCTGGAAAACGATCTTTACTGCAAATCAGAGTTTGTGGGACTTCAATGCCACAAGACAACGTCTCTGATGCGACCTGACGATCCCAAATCGCCCCCCCCCCCCAAAAAAAATGTGGGGACGCCTACACCGCGAGTAGCCACATTTTGAAAACGGCCAGCCTTCTGCGCGGGAGTCACATTTTGAAAACGACCCGCCCTCCATCCGTGAAAGTATTGTAAATTTCAAGCTTCAGGATCATAACTGGCGAAGACGTCGCAGGCGAATCGCCTGGTCTGCCCGACCTACCCGTCTCGAGGCGCGACGGGGGAATTGCGTATAAGAAAAAAGGATGGACGAGGCCGCGCTGGAGGCCCAGCGACGGCTCGCCAACGCCGGTCGGCGCGCGCTGCCCGCGCCCACCGCGGAGCCTGTCCCCGAGGACGCGTCGGAGACCCCGACCTGCCCCCCGCCGATGAAGTCGTCGACCAAGCCGTCGCCCGACTGCTCGGCGACGGCGACGGCGAAGCCGTCGAAGACGCCCATGACGCAGTCGATGTCCTCGTCGTTCACCATCGGGGGTGGGCGGACACCATGACCCACAGGCTGCGGGTGATCCTCATGATTCTGGTCGCCAGCAGCGGAGCGACCAGCGCCTGGCAAGACCTACAAGAAAGAATCGCACGCCTATTCCTCCTCTGCGGCCGCCTGCATGAAGCGGTCAGGCTCTGTCACTTGTTGTTGTATGTTAGAACGCAACGCAGGTCCATCGCGTCCAGAAGAGATTCAGCACCATCATCTTCAGCCAACATCATCTGCATGCACATGTTGAACTGGTCGGCGGAACACGGCTTGACACCCTCATCCCCCAAAGCGCAAGGAAACAGCGGAGAAGCAGGAAGTGCGTCTGGCCCAGGGGACTGCGAACCAGCAGCGCCAGCATGTCCATCTTGACGTACATCCACGAGAGCTGCACTGGCAATCATAGCGCCATCGTTAACCAGCGGCGCGCCGCTGCGAAGCCGTCAGGGTCAAGGCTTTGGAGCGAAGACAACCTTCCAGTGAACACCGCCAACTCCTCACAGTGAGCTGGAACTTCAGAATCAGGATGAAGGCCGAAGTCCGGGAAGGCAGCACTCTCAGCCCATAGCATCGGCCGCGACGCCCGGCCGCCTGGAGCGCCAACGAACCCGACGTCTACGCCGCCCGGAAGCCGGCACTACATCGGGGCCACGCGAGGCCGCGGGGAAAGTCCTCGCCTCTGTTGGACCTCCAACCGACATGGGCGACAGCACAGAGCCACTCACGCCGCCAGGAGGAGGAGGAGGAGGAGGAGGACGAGCCCCCTCAACAGGCCCACGGTGGCAGGCAACATGCAAAGGCCGCGGGGGGGTCGCCCCCGCCTCCGCCGGGGCGCCGGCCGACGTGCCGAGAACACCATCGCCCACTGCTTGGACGGTCGCTCCACCAGCTGAACCATCAGCCGGTCGAAGCACGCCGCGCGAGGTTGCTGGCCGCGGCCGCCTGGCCGCGGCGACAACACGAGCAGACTGCAAAGAAGCGTTGCGCCGCGCGTTTCGCGCGCCCCCCTCCTCAATGTCGTTCGCCACCGCCCCACCATCGGCATGATCAACCGCCACAGATGGACGCAAAACAGAATCCGCAGCCCCTGGGCCAGGCTGCAGATCATCGCCCTCCGCACGATAGCGATCCACCGCCGCAGGCAACGCACTCGCAGCCAGGAAAGATCGCGCCGAAGTGGCGCGCAGATTCTCCATGACCCATCACTTCACCTTCGAAAGATGCTTCCATTCCACCCTGCAGACCAGCGGCTCGCTGTCTGCCAGATTCAGACTCCGACTCCATACTCGCGATGTCCTCCGCCGACGGGATGGGATATCCATCCAGGCCCACACTGCCCTCTGCTTCATCAGGGGGAAGACCCCCGCGTCAATCGGAGATGCGCCATCCCCACTCGGAGAGCCACAATGCTCAGCACCCCGAAGAAGTGCTGGGATAAATTTGACAATCGGTGGGAACCCACCGACGCCCCCATGCTGGCCGCCCTCCGAATGCCCAAGATGTCGCCCTGCTCAGCACGGCGCGCGCGAGAGATATCAGCAGCCCACCCGCGTTGGCGAAGGCGTTCGCGCCCACGCTGGCGCGGGGCGAGCAGCCGCCGAGCACGATGAATCGGACATGGCGTGCCAATATGAGATGGAAGCTGCCCACGTCGCAGGGAAGCAGAGTACCAAACTGTCTGACATAGCGCGAACGCCAGAGACCATCTGCCTGAGCTGCTGGCAAGCGCACCAGGGACACCTCCCGGCGAGGTGGCGAGAAGAGGCTCAAACCCAACATCTCACTCAAGCGAGGCGCAGTCAGAAAGTTGAGCAGGCAACAGCAGCGCGCGAAGACGACGCAGGGCGCGAGGAGCACGGGAGCTCACAGAGGCGCTCATGTCTCGCCGTTGCCGGAGGGACTCACGGCCACGATTCGCCGCAGCAGGCCCCCCTCCGCGCGGGCACGCAGCGCAAGAAGCCGCAGATGGCCTCGACCACGCCGAGGTAGGCACAGGCGCGACTGAAGGCGAGCCCGCCCAACGGCCGAGTTGCGCCAGGCCGCGCGGCAGGCAGCGGCGGCCAACGCAGCCCTCACCAAGAAAAGCTCCTCCAAGCCCCAGTAACTGACGAGATCGTCGACGCAGCAAGTCCCCCGCCCTCATATCGTCGAAGCCGGCGCTCAAGATGCCTTCCAGTAGAATGGAGGGCAACCCATTGAGCGCCCACGAAGAAGCCTTCGCGAACAGCACCTGTAAAGGTTCCTGAGCATCCGCATCATCAAGGCGAGGGGCAGGCGGCGCATGCCACTTCTCACCTCCACTCATTGGAAAGCGCACGCGACGTGGTAACACGCCGCAGGTGAAGCGGCGACCATGCGGTACCTCGCCCAAGGCAACGTCGGCACGTGAAGGGGCAGGGGGCAGCGGCGGGCGGAGGCACCGGTCGTGAGAGCTCCGAAAAAACCATCGGGCGCCGAGAACCACGCCGCGCCCGACAGCCACCAGGGCGCGCCGGCGCACGAACTTTGGGAGCACCGCGAGCAGCATCAAATAGGGCACCTGGCGGGACAAAACCCAAATGGCGAACAGCGCGGTAGATGATGGCATCGAGCAGTGTGTTCAGCAAGTCGTCGTCGAAT